TCCTTTACCCCCATGCAAGTGCAGTAGTATTTCTCAGCCTATCACTTCTATTGTATAAAATCCTCTCATAATCCCGAAACTCACTCTTTTCATACCCTTATAAGAGTTTAATAGGGTACTAGATTTCAGTGAAAGTTCATTTGCCTTTGTTTTTTTGCTATTGTATTTGTTTCAAAAATCTCTTTGTCATCATTTTCACATTCTGTTTCCATTCAAACAAAGAGCAGCTTTAGATGGGGAAAGAAAAGGTCAGAGGTTACTTAGAGCATGCCAAAGAAAATAAAAGAGTAGCACATATACAAATGTTTTCATCATTCTGGCCTGATTTTGCAATCTGGGACTATGCTCAGCTTTCACTAACATCACAACTCAGGGCATGCATCCCACTTGCAATTGTTTTCAATAGAAGGCAAAGGCAGATAGTTCCTTGAGATACTCAGTCCTTTACAGATGCTTTATAGGGCCACAGTAACCACAGAAAGTCCACATCCAAACTCCATGTTATTTTCTCTCGCAGATCAGAGCAGATTTGTTACTGATTTCAACGGAAACTGTGCAAACTGTCTGAGGGAGTATTTAATTCTTCATAACATGACATAACATAACAGTATGTTGCCATGAAACCCCTTACTGGGGCAGAACCCCACTCCCACACACTGAACCAGAGATCTGCTGTTGCATACTTCATCCCCGATCAACTGATGGAGTTTCCCAGATGTTCAGCACCATGTACCAGTATAAATCGTGCCACTGCTGCTAAATTTAAGAACTCTACTTTCAAGGACCAATGATTTTCACAAGCAATAAAGCTGAACGTATTTAAAGAACATCTACATACAAGGTCAAATACATCCAATATCCCCTTTGGCAGTGACTGAACGGTGTATGTCGGTGTTTAGGGACTGGAAAAGATCTTTGGAAAGACTTGGAGAAGTTCCTTTATTTTAGGAAAAAGGCAAAATATTTTCTTCCCAAAGCCGATATTTTCAGCCCTCTTATCTCTGCATGCTGAGGTTTTATTTTCTTTCATTTTTCAAAGTGCAACTGCCTATAGAGGTGCAGGATCACGGCAGGATGCTTGCTCTTTCCCTCAGACCTGGGGATATTCCCAGTTCACAAGTTGACCCAGCAAGATCCTGTTTAGGAAGCTGTCAAATTAGTGCACCTGAACCCCATGGCTCCATGTGCTCATTTAAAATGCTTTTTGCTAGATACAGCAGTACAAGATCCAGAACAAAGAGCTCTTACGTATGTCCTAAGAAATTACATTCTTGAAAGCTGTGCATGGTCCTGGATCTGTATTAAATTTCTCCTAAGGTTTACCATCCAGTCATCATGAAATCCAATCTCAAAAACTTCGTATGTTCTGGAAGTGGGTCCCATACATAATCATTCACGGTGAATTACTCACCGTGCAAATGTATGTAAATTCATTCCCACCACTTAATCCAGAACCACAGATAGAGCTGAAAGTGTGCCTTGCTGAACAAGGAATATAAAGGAGTGGTGGCTATCTTGCTTAGATTAACTTTACATGCCAGGCACAGTTTGGTTTTTTGATTAATATGATTCTGCGAGAAAAAAACTGAGTGAGTTGTGGAGCATCTGTGATGCCTCCTTTATTTATTTATTTTCCAAGGTCCCATAGTTTCCACTTCTTTCATTTACTGGTATTTTTAGTGTGCTCAGGAGTTATTTGGTAAGATATTCAAGATTTCTAGTGGGATTTCTTCATAATGGACAGATTCTTTCTCTTCATAATGATAGCTGAGTTTCTTGAGAGCAAAGAGACACTTTGTTCTTTGTTCTCAAGGAGACAAACTGTTATTTCTTTCCCTGAAGAAGCTTCTAATATGATGGGTGAAATATCAGGAATAATTAGACCAAATGGTGATGTAAATCCCACTAGAAATGGTGCATCCATTATTTCATTTTATGCCTATCGCTCCAGTTTCTGCCTGATTTAAGTCCACGTGAAGAAAGCTGTGGGTATTCCCTTTATAAGAACTACAATAAATTTCTTCATTGAATATTTACTAGCCCTGAGTTGCTCCTTTTTTGTTGGACCATCATTACACAATTAAAAAATAAGAAGGTAATTTAGCTGTTTCAAGGGCTGGTATTGCTTAATTTCAAGGGAGGGGGGCTGACAGTTGAAAGGTTAATGTATTTCACTGATTGGGCCCCTGGGGTTCATTTTCTGAAAAAAAAAGCTCTTTCAGTTTTTATTAAGAAACTCATGTAATGAAAAGGGGAAAAGCTTCCCTCACTTGGCACATGCGAGACAGTGGCTGCGGGAGTCCAGGTTTCTCTTCCTGGCTCAACACGCAGTCATCCCATTTCCCTCCCTTCCCTGGATCAAGGGGAGGGAGGATGTGCTCTGGGTTTGGCATGGGCTTTGCTGTGTCCTGACCCATCAGCACAGCGTCCCTGTGGAGGGACAAGTCCTGCTGGGAGTGACATGGGGACTGTGTGTCGTCCTTGTCACGGCTCTGGGGATGAGCAGAGGAGTGAGGGGCCCTGAATGCTGTGTGAGCTATGAAAGTCCCAGGAGCAAAGTTGCTTGTAGGTGCCCATCTTGTAGGGCTGGGTGCCATGGACACCCTGTAGTGACCCAGGGGGGCCTGTTGGCACAAAGTCCATCTCTTTTGGCTCCAACAGAGTACTCTGGCTTCACAACCCGGCCAGGCTGAAATGTTGTGTTGGTTGACCAGGAGGAACACCTTCTGCCCACCCGTGGCTCAAAGGCTTCACTGGCCTCTGGCCTCAGATCAGAAATATAAAATGAGTAGAGCACTGTGGGGAATGAGAAGTTAAACCAAAAGAAAACTCTGTCTGCATTTTTCTTGAGTTTTACCATTGAACCCACCCCCAGACCCTTTCCCTGCAATGCTCCTCTCCTCTGCCCCTGCTCACTGTTTGTTCCTTAGCACGATCTTGAGCAACAATTGACAAGCAAATGGTTGTTTTTTGAAGGTTTAAGCAAATGCAGGGAAATACCCTCTTCACACAATTAAATGCATTCATGCTAACACAGCCTTATGATTCACACACTCACTGAAAAGCTGATAGCGACACGGTGTTTTACAAGATAACAATGCTTCATACAAGCTTGGCATACATGTGCTAACTATTAGTAGGGAGAAGAGATATCAGTTATATAAATTACTCAGTGTTGGTTATTCCTCACTGCACTTACCATGAGAAGTTTCTTGAGCCGAGTGTGAGTGGACTAAGTCTTTCCCATTAGGTAAGTTAGCATGCAAGTGGTATTGTTTGACATAATTTAACTTGCCTGATTTTAATATCTGCATCAGAAGATTATAATCCACTATTTGCAAAACTTCCATAGTGCTGATGTCTCTGGCTGATATTTTTATTTTAATGGAATCCCTGAAACTCAACATTTATAGGCACAGTGAGGCAGTAAAAATATAAAATAGAAATAAAATAATTTGCTTGGGCTGGAAAATTCTGAACATTGCAGAAAGGCTTAACAAAATAAAACAAAAATGTCTCTGTCTTCAAGCATCTAGAAGAATTGTAAGAATGTCCCTTTATTGTCTTTTTTTTGTACCCTCTATAAAAATTGTTTCCCTCTCAGCCCCTAATGAGATGTTTTTAGCAGCTTGACTATCCCAAATTACCATGTGAGATGGGCATTAGGAGTAATGTGGTTTTAGCTTGGGGAGTTGTGCTGGGGCTGGAGTCTGCGTGCGCACCGGGGAGGGAGACAGGGTCGGAGCGCTGCCTTTGCTGCCGGGGACTCTCTCTCTGCTGGCTTTTGCTCTGCTTATTGATATGATTTATAGATTGAAATGGCTTCAGAAATGGGGGGAGAAAAAGTTCTGTCTCTCACCTACAGTGAAGAATTTGTATTATTTTATTTTAACAAAATTAAATTGCACAGAAATGAATGAGAAAAATTATATTTTATTAAAGAGAGAGAAAAACCCCTGATGACTTAAATAAACATAAAAGTAACCAAGAAAACAGAAGAACAGGCATATCTACACATCCAGTTGAAAAATACTTTCAAAATTCATGCAGATATTTTGAAGTTAATACCTTTCTGATTCCTAGTTTGGTTGTACTAGATTCATGGAAATATAATGCCTTTGTTTTCTGTAGCCTGAGCTTCAGAAAAGGATTGCAGTTACATGGAGAAATCCCATATCCTGCTTATCTTTCTTCCATAGATGTGATGGTGTTCTAAAAATAAATATGTTAAAATTCAACATATCCATAATCCTGGAAAAAATAGTTGTAACTAATGGATAATGATGACCTGGTTAATTAATGGAATAAACAGAGAACCAAGATAAAGCTGTGGTAAATTTTGGTAATGAGCCACATTCAAAGAAACCAGATGCCTATATGCATCATGTAATACAAGTGAGTGTTTTTTTTATAGTTGTTGGTGTTAATTTTAGAAACTGTTAAACACCCTGAATCGGATGACTGAAGAAATGCTTGTTCCAAACTGTGAGCTGTCGTCCCTGGCTCTCATCTCCACATCCAGTGAACAGAACCTAGGAAGAAACTGTTATAAAATCCAACCAAAGATATTCCACCTTTTCCTGCAGCCCTCCACTCACCATCTCAGTGCAGCAGGAATCTTGAACAGCTGTAGAAAAGCCTGTTTTTCAAGCTATCGCGAACCCAATTTTCTCAAACAAAAATAGTTTGGGTTTTGTCTTCTAAAAACAAAAAAAAAAAAAAAAAAAGAAAAAAAGGAAAAACTACAGCTTCAAAGTTTTGAAATGAATGTACAGGAAAAATATAGCTTTTGTTCCTATTTTTAAATATAGTCTAAATAACGTCTGAAGAAATAGTTACTACATCTTTAAATATCGGTTGCCAAGTGGTAATTATATTGTTTAATTTTAAGTCATACGATAGAGTTATACCACCTGACACTGCAAACATTACGCTCAAACATTTTTTGTTATCATGAGAGAATGTTATTTTAAAATGTAAAAAGCATCTTTAAAAGCAAATTAAAAAATGTATTTTTATTATGGATGTGAGCTTTTCTTATCTCCTTTTCTGAAACTTATGGGGAGCTCTGGATTGCACTGCCAACTCATCGTGGTGAATAACCCCTAAATTTAGCTTTATAGAGTAAAATATGTTTATATAAACATATTACTCTATAGATACAAAGCTAAAAGTTTTTTATGGGTATTAGAGTTAAATCAACTATCAGTTTTCTTCTAGGGAACTTCTGGTAGGAGAGCAGCTTCTCAAGGAGTAATCTTCTGTAAATCTGCAAAAACAGCAAATAGGTAAGGCAGCAAAATTGCTTAAGAATGGTAAACATTACCTTAAAATAAAATGGAAATCCCCAATAATCTAAAAGGCTGGCATGTTAATAATGCTTGAAATAGTTTATGATCTGAAATGTAGCTATGCATTATTCTGCCCTTCCCTCCTGGTTATGGAGCTGTTGTTTACAGAGTGCCAGGGGCATTTCTGTCTCATTATCAAATACATAAATAGAAGAATATGCATTTAGTGAGGGATCTATTTTATTGTCAGTCTTCCCTTCCCCCCCTCCACCTTACACACTCATGATATTTCTTGATGCTTTCTCCTCCCTTCTGCAGCCTGTATATTTCTACAAAACTGTGTAAAAAAAGCATAAAACAAACAACATCTTCAACTAAAAGGGTACAATTTCTAAAGCAGGAGCTTTTTATTTAAAGCTTCGGAGAAACATTCATACTTAAGACCTTTCTCTTTTTTCCCCCTCTACGTGAAGCATTTTTTTATGTAAGCTTATAATTTCCTTTAAAAGCTATGTTTAATACTTGCCCTTTTTAATTTAAATGTTTGGAGGGGGGGAGGAGGTATCTTTAATGCTAAGCTGTGCTGTGTATTTTTTTATGAACTAGGATCCAGCTCCTGGGTGACTCAGTGCAGAGGCTTCTGAGGCAAGTCAGGGAAGCCAGGAGCATTCACTCCAGCATTTGCCCCAGTGACAGGAGTGGTTCCATTCCCTTTTCTCAGGCCATGGGTGCTGTAAAGGAAACTGAAATGTCTTTGATGGAGCCTTATTTGAGCAGGGAGTGCAGAAACCAGCTTGTAATGCTGGGCTGGATTCAGAGACACCCCCAAGACAGTGGGCTCAGTGCTCAAGGGACGCTGACTCTGACCCCAATGACTCTGTTCCTGGAATACTCAGCCTGGTAAATACCTCAGGCCCAGGAAAAAAATATGTTGAAGAAAAGTATTTCTCTGAGGAAAGACTAATGGGATCAGACCCTAAATTATTATCCTCATGATATCTCGTAGATCAAACTATGGAAAATGTGGGAAGATAATTATTACATATATATATATATATATATATATATATACATGGTTTTAAGTTTAGAAAGTTAATCTCTCTCAGGTATTTTTTTAAAGCAGTTTTTATGAATATTGAATGCTGTAAATGAAGCACAAAGCAAAAGCTGGATTTCATTTGTTCTGTTTTTGGTAAAGGATAAGGATTTTTTTGAATACTGGAGTTATTTCAGTTTTAGGAATTTAAAAACTAATGAAAAATCGTTTTCTTTCTGGTAGGTCTTGTATTCAATTGCCTCTCAGTGGGAAGTAAACGGAGTCAAGAGTGTTTTTCTTCGTTACTCTGAATGTCTACTGTCCTTTATTTGTGAAAGTAAAGATAAGGATGCTGTAACATAGTATTTGGAGGAAAACATAGAATAAGGTTTGAAAATAACTACATACCTGAAAGCAATATATCAATATGAATTTAACCTACAGGAAATCTTTACTCCTCTTTTTAGAATCTTTTTTTACCATAGGTGTTTAGAAAAAATACTATATGAGTAGAGAAGTGACTGTGACAATACGTTGTAATTCTTAGGTTTTTTGCTTGTCTCGACAAAAGGTTCCACATTTGTTTAGGTTTCGTATGCGTGTGTAAACCAGACCACATCCCTATTTGTATATCTCACTCTTGCTTTCTTAAATGATTTGCTTGCTTTCCCCTTAATTTTAGCTTGATCTATGCATTAAAAAAAATCAAACCAAACCAACCAACCAACCAACCAAACAAAACAAAACTAAAAAAAAACATCAAAAAACCCACAAAACCCCGAAGAGGTATTTTCTTTATATGGTTAAACTTGTTAGCCTGGACCTCGGGAATGATAAACAAATGATAAGTGCGGTACTTTATCTAGGCAGGCACATTCGGCTCTCGTTGTGCTGCACTGCCACCTTCCGTCCCCCCCGGCCCGGGGCCGCCGCCGCCCGGCCCCGCCACTCCCGCAGCTCCGGGGAGAGATGGATTCATAGGTCTCCAAGAGCTTTCATTTCTATAATTCTGCTTCTATATTGACAGGCCCTTTACAAATAATTTGTTAGCAGAATCTCTGCATTAGCTGTATCATGGGGGTTTTATTATTATTATTGTTATTATTATTATTATTATTATTATTATTATTATTATTATTATTATTATTTTAAAGTAATTCTTGTTTTCAGGGTTTTAAAAATATTTGGCCCGAAGCTATTTATTCCCCTTAGACGGCCATATGGAAAGTTTGATTGCTGCTATTTATATTCTAAAAGAATTAATGTGTTTCAGACTGCTCCCTTTCACAGCAGCCCAATCCCAAGCTGAAGAAGAAGCATCTGGCACAATAGAAATTGTCACACCACAAGGCTGCAACTTCGACTGGTGAGACAAGGCTTCCCTTGGATGTGCAGATCACAGAGAAGAGACTGTTTAAAAGGACACTGCAGCTACAAGGCAGTGGCACAGCCATGCTGTTGCAGGCGATGAGGAGCCTCAATCTGCGGGAACCAAAGGCAAAGAGAAACACACTCCCCTGGTGCTAAACTCATTGTGTGTGTGGCCAGAGCAACCTTTGCCTATTATATTTTGAGAGGAAATCCCTTAAACACACTGCCTGCTCAAGTCCAAGGCCGGTGACACTAGTGGGGGTTCCCCAGGTCACGTCTCATAATGGGGAGGTGGTCAGAAAGGAGGGGTGCTGGATCAGAAGGTGGTTGCTCGTGGGCTGCTGTCACAGCTCCCGGTTGATCCCTCCAACAGCTTTGGTCCAGGTGCTCTCCAAAAGCACAGTCCTCTTCACCACAGCCTTTGCTCTTTACTTATTGACTCCTCTTGACAGTGGCTCTTTGATTTCAGGAGGCCGAGCGGAAGGAGAGGCAGAGGAAGGCTGGAGAGGAATGGGAACTCTTCAGCACAGGAGGTGGACCGTGTTTCTTTCATCTTTACCAAAGAGGAAGGAAAAAGCCTCAGGAGGGTATTCCCAGGGAGGAAGTAATTCCCTTTTCTTCCACCCAGCAGGAGGGTGCATCCTACCTTCAGCTCTCTGCTCCCTGGCTCCCCAGGCCAGCGGGGTTACATGCTGCCAGTTCTGACCACACCACCCCAGAACTCCTCCATGCTGAGCAGATTTAAAGGTCCTCACAGCCCCTTTGGGATTTTAACAAGACTCACCACCCACTGCAGACTCTGTGGGATGAGCTGGGGATCGACACATGAGCTCCCCAGCATGTGCAAGCACGCCAGCTTTGGGTGCTGGGACCCTGCCTCATGTTGTCATTCTCATTTTCTGAATAGTAAAAGAAAGCATCAATGTACCTCTGCCCAAGGCAAACCCTGGCAAAAAGCCATTGTTCTTCATACCAGGGGTTGGTTTCAGCATCAGAGACTTGTAGGATGGAGGGGATAAACTTGATTTATCCTGACCCCCTCTCCTCTAGAACAGAGCCTCTGCCAACAGCAGTAGCAGCAACAGCAGGATCAGACAGCTGTGAGTTCACCTCCCACATGAAGGCATTGCTTTGCTGCTTACAGAATCATTATTGTTACATACTAATTTCAGGTGGAAGAACTCATGTGTGGGCAGGCATTTCTCCCAGCATTAGAAGACCCTTTTAAAACAAAAATTAAAAAATCCCAAAACATAGAAATGGCTCCCATGCCTGTTAGGTATCTACAACCATGCCTTGGCTACTACTGTTGAGAATCCAGGATTTTTCTGACACCCAATTAAATTAGTGTAATTGGGATAGAGTTGCAATTTCTTTGCCTCCAGCTGTGAGTCATAATCTGTTTAGCACCTGAGTGCTATTTCACTTTATTTTTAGTGCTTAGCCCATAGTTTGGAAAGGGAAAAAGCAAACCTACATGTCAGTCAGGATTTTGGGAAGGTGTAGATTACTTATCATTAATTTAAATGTGGCATTTAAATGTCCATTCACAGGTGGTTTTAATGCTTTTATTAACTTCTTTTTTGGACTTTGTAAGGAATACATTTGAAAAAAGAAATGCCAAGGACCTTGAACTACAGGCCATGCCAATAATACATTGCTGTTACTACATCATGGGGAAAACTGTAAAACAAGAGAAGTTCCAATGAGGGGAAAAAGAGAACTTTATTATAATAAGGAATGATAACAAAAATGAAGGAAAAAATTATCAGTACCTGGTCTTGTTCGGGCTACCAGTTCAGCCTACAGTACATTTTGAAATGATGAATTGGCTGGAGAGAAAAACATATTCCAGATGTTTTTTGTCTTTGTCTCCAGTATTTACTCCATCAGGCTTTATTCAGAGCAATTATTCAATGGAAATAAATGATATACCAAGTGATATAAAAGAGAAACTAGTACTGGGGAAATAGCTCAGGATAAAACACAAACTAACCAGAAACTTCATCTTCAGTTCAGATCCTTGGTTATGACTCAAACCAACCAGCCTCAGAAAAATGCCTCTGAATAGTGGTTGATGAAAACTGTGGGCAAAAATAATTGTGATGGATTGGGAAACCAAGGCCACAAAAGTGTTGATGTACTGGGGTTGGGAGAAGAGGGAATCCCCCCCTGCTGAAGTGGGGCAGAGAAACACCTGTATGAACCTGCTGTGTCCTGTTGTGTGGGGGTGGACACGGGCCTCAGCTTTGCTGGGGTCAGTGCTTGGAGACCAGTGCTGTGGAGCAGAGGGTGGAAGGCTAGGAGGCAACAATGCTGGGCTGACTCCAAGGATGTGGGATAAGGGTCTCTCCTGCCATGGCCAACGTAGCATTACACAAGAGACCTTAGTGCCAGATCCTCTGACTCATCCCCAACCTAAAGAGGTTTCATCTGAAATGAAGATTTACGGGCATCGGAGACGGAGTAAGTCATTAAGGTAAACATAACGTATTGACTAGTAGGAGATGTCTAGTAGTGTCCCCACAACCAAAGTGGGAATAACAGCAGGTCCATGCCCCTCCAGATTGTCTGTTACACAAATAACAAATTTCACAACTCCTCAGGCAACTTATCTAAAGGGATGTTTATTTTTGCAAAGCAAGACTGAATGTCTTAAAAAAAGAGCCCCACCTCATCTTATCCATCTATCTACACTCTCCAGGGTGAGGTTTACTTTAAAAACAAAATAGCCGAAAGGTAATTGCGCATAAGTTTAGCCTTAAGATATTTTAGTGACGCTTAGAAGGTGTGGAACAAAACCCCTGTCACTAAGTTGATGCCTCTAAAATATCTGCCAAAACAGCTCTTTAAAAAGGTATTTGCACCTTTATTTAGTTCCTTCTTGTGAGGAATGTTTACTGCAGTCCGTAGATGTGGTTATGTCATGTTTCCACTGTGTTTTCATTCAGTGTTGCTCTGTATTTGTGGTTTTCTCATTTGTGACAGTCTAGTAACTGGAGCCATTTGTACCTGAGCAAATAATATCAAATCTGAATACTTTATAAATATTTACAATATTTGGTGTGTCTCCCACTCACATCAAATGCAAAGTATAAAAAGCAAAAACAAACAGAAACAAACAGAACCTGTGTTACGTTATAATAAATATTTACTGTATGTACTATTGACTAAAGAGTCCCATACAGCTATTTAGGAGGCATTGTTTCTGTCAGGCTGTTCTATATTAAAACACTCTAAATGAAGCTGTTTGAGAATAAAAATGTGCATGTTAGGGAGTGATTGATGCATATGACTTATTTAATTTTTCTGGCAAGGGGAAGTGGTTCTTTTTTTCTCCCTGCACATGTGGGTAGTGAATTAGGCAGGAGCCTGGGACTTTCTGCCACAGCTGCAGAATTCATTGGAGTGAGGTCCCAGTGCAAGACTTGGGGGGGAACACAACCCTTTGGGCCTACTGGTTTTAAGCAGAAATTTCAATTGCAAACAATCTGCACTGAAGACAGGGCAGGCAGTGGCAGAGCAGCAGCCGTGTCCCTCATGTAACAAAGCCAGCCTGAAAACAAGAAGGAAAGAAATGTAAGGTTCATAGAATCATAGAATCATTTAGGTGGCAAAGGACCTTTAGGATGACCGAGTCCAGTCATTAACCCAGCACTGACAAGCCCACTACTAAACCATGTCCTGAAACGCCACATCCACACACCTTTTGAACACTTCCAGGAATGGTGACTCCACCACTTTCCTAGGCAGCCCATTCCAATATCTGACAACCCTTTTGGTAAGGAAATTGTTCCTAATATCCAATTTGAACCCCCACCTAGCTGCAACTTCCTTTAAGGTAGTTTCAGAGAGCAGAAAGATCCCTTCTCAGCCTCCTTTCTCCAGGCTAACAAACCCCAGCTCCCTCAGCTGCTTCTCTGGACTTGCTCCAGCCCCTCAATGATCTTTCTGAAATGAGGGGCCCAGAACTGGACACAGGATTTGAGGTGTGACCTCTCCAGTACCAAGTACAGGGGGATAATCCTGTTCCCAGTGGCCACACTATTGCTGCTACAGGCCAGGATGCCTCTGGCCTTCTTGGCCACTTGGGCACACACTGGCTCATACTCAGCTGCTACCGACCAGCACCCCCAGGTCCTTTTCCTCCAGGCAGCTCTCCAGCCGCTCTGCACCCAGCCTGTAGCACTGCAGGGGGTTGTTGTGACCCAAGTGCAGGACTCGGCACTTGGTCCTGTTGAACCTCATCCAACAGGCTTCAGTCCATCATTCCAGCCTGTCCAGATTCCTCTGTAGAGCCTTCCTGCTCTCCAGCAGACGGACACTCCCACCCAACTTGGTGTTGTCTGCAAACTTGCTGAAGGAACACTCTATTCCTTCGACCAGATCATCAATAAGGAACAGAGAAGCATTGCAGAGCAGGGAGAAGGAAGCTCTTCAAGCCATTTGGTTTCTCTGATTTTGAGGAATAGCTTTACCAAGTCCTGGACAAGCAAGGGCTCTTTAGAGTGTCATCAGATCCTGTTCCAGGAGGAAGACTAGATTTGCACCTGAAGGCTTGGTGTCATGAAGGACCTCCAAAGTTTTGTGAGCACTTAATGGAAGACCTCCCTCCCCCTTCCTCTTTAGTCCTCTTGCCTCTGCAGTCAATTTTCTCCTTCTGTTCCCCTCCCACGCAGGAGCTTTTATCTTTTCTTCTAAGACCATGGTATTTTTCTAAGTTACCTCTCCCCAAGCACCTGTAATCCTTTGACATATTTATTCTTACAAGACTGCTATATCCCTTTTTCACTCAGACTGATGCATCACAGATCACTTTAAGCCTGGGATGGAGTTTGGGAGATCTGGGTTCAATTCTAGCTCAGCAGTGCCCTAGCCACCAGCGTGGCTTCCTCTTGTTTTGTCCATTCCTTGTCTGTCACAAATTGGCTTGTATTCTTAGCCACCCATCTGCAAAGGCTTACTGACTTGCTTAACTTTAAAGAAGTTTTTTGAACCTACATCCGTAAGCAAAGTTCAGTAAGCAGCTGTAATTTTCAACCCATAATTTGCCACAATTCAGCTCCAAGGCCAATGTTTTCTCACTGATTCTTCAGAGAGGCTCTGAGCAGAAGTGGTGTTCTTAGTGTTTGTGTCTCTCTTGAGATGACAGGAATAAACAATATTCAGAGGAGGTTTTCCTCTGCTCCACTCCAGTTAGATCCCTACAATGCAGCCCTGAGGGTTCCTGGAATTTGAAGGGGAAGGGTCCTTGGGTGATGGGCATATGAGCATCTTTGCAAATGGAGGAGCTCACTGCTGCAGGGTGTGGTGAGGTGAGATGAGTTGGAAAGGGGGATGTCTTAGGAGAAGGATCAAGGGTTGCTAGTAGATACAATACTCTGGACAGACAGTCCGCAATCATTGAGTGCTGGAAACGACTACAGAGGAAGGACAAACGGTAGGAGAAATCCTGCCCTGTTGCTGGCATGAGACTCCCTTTAGTCTTGTTCTTATGTAAATGAACATAAAAGTTCTGCTCTTTGTGTAGGCTGTGTTGCACATAGCTGCAGATGCATCCAAATAATTTCCTCAAGTAGGATTTTCCAGAACTATTCCTTCACCCACCTCCTCAACCTCTTCAAGTTGATTGAAATGCAATTCTTGCAGCATGGGCTCTTACTGGGTACCCTCTCCGGTTTTGCATCAAAATCCATGTTTGAGTAAAAGAACAGTACTTTAGAAAAAGAGATTTGGTCTGATTAAAAACTTGTAAAAACTCTGAGATTTAGTTTGGCCTATTTGTAAAAAACACGGCAGATCCCCTGCCTGAGAACAACTTAAATTGTCAATATAGAAGTTAAAAAGCTCATTTCAATTGGAAATTCCAGCTAAATTGTTCCCAGTTAGCACCAGAAAGGAATGCTTTAGAC